TGCCTCATGGGAGATGTAGTCCGCCCCCCTCCCCAATCCCCGCGCAATCTGTGCGGAGCCCCGGGCAGACAGCGCTTGGGAGAGCGCCGGCTGGGCTACGGGCTTTCGATCGAAGGTGTCTTGAAATTGAAGTTTTAGCAGAAGGTGCTGCCGAGGAAAAAAAATGTTACAGTCTCCACTGACTTGCTTTGTCGTTTTGTACGTTTGCATTCACAGACATCCCGCTGTATTGATTGTAAGCCCTGCAAGCCGAGGCTGCAATGCTGCTGTCCCGCCCTCCGCGGAGCCTACAAACGCCCTGGGAACACTTTCTTCTGCCGGCCGTGTGGGCAGCTGCAGGTGAGCGTGGTTTACGCTGCGCCTGGCCAGCCATGCAGTCAGAGCTAAAAATTTCAAATGTGAAATTCTTCCACTACTGACTGTGGCACGGCCTATGGCTTAGGTCAGCCTCGTAGTCCAGAAACAGAAGGTGGCAAGCACCACTCACTTACAGTTTTTTAAAGTTCACAGAGCTGTAAATCTGGCTCCAGCATGAAAGTGTCTTTGGTACAAGCAGTGACTAAATAAGTGAACGCTTCAACCTCGGAGAGAAAGTGTGTCATGGCTGTAACAAAGGTCTATAATATCAGAAGCGGCATATAAAACAAAACAATCATTCATCGTTTCTCCACTACAAGAAATAGTAGCAGGTCAAATTACTGGGTAGAAAAAGGAGATATTTCTACAGACGGTGCCGATGTTATTGACTGCAGTTGCAAGAATTTTACATGTGTTCAAAAACAGATTAAAAATTCAACGGAAAATGCATCAAGGCTTAAGTACAAAATCACAGCCTCTTGTTTAGAAATGCAGGAGTCACCAGGAATCTGAACTTAAGAGGTAACACCTAAAAACAACACTCTGTATGCCCTGTTCTTCTACAGTACAAGATAATTCTTACTGGACGCTGCCAGAGATAAGGCACTTTGGTCTTGCCCAGCGCAGCCATCCTTTACTGTTTTCTGGATTCAAACATGACTGATTTTCTTTGAGTATTGAAGAGCAGTGGAAATTCTATGTCGTGGTTCATTTATCTAGAAATTAAAGTTGACGTTGCTATGAAAGTAAAAGCCTAGATCCAAAATGCTTATATTCAGATAAAGCTGGCAATCAACTTCACCAAAGCAATTAGGAGACCTCACTGTTATGGAGCAAATAAAATCTGCATCAGAAAATGAAGAGACAAACAGGACGGGAAAAAGTTAATCAGAAAAGATACCTAATTAAATATGCTGACATATACCAAAAACTAAACTGAGAGACAATTTATGTAACAGTATATGATGCTGCATTCCCAAGAAACTGAATTTGTCCTCACAGATATAGCTCAGGTTCTGGATGTTTACATCATGCACGTTTACTGTGTGAACTGACGACCGGTGCCATTTCAGAGTACTTACCGTTAGACAGCACGCGGTGGTCAGAGAACAACCCTCACTGACTTCAGCATGAACTTCTACCAAAGAGATTTCCAGGCTTACATCAAACTTTTCACATATGCCTGCATGATGGTTTAATGGCCAGGTTAGCATCACATACGAACTCTGTCACACAAAGTCTAGCTCCCCAGGGGAAAAAACAGAAACAGTCTCGGCTACGTCATCATCCCTTCTCCTCCTGCAAACGCCAGCCTCTCAACATCTTCCAACGTTTTCAAAAAGAGAGAAAGGCCTTGACAGCAATAAAATACTCGAGATTTCAATGCTAGGTGACAGGGAAAGGAGTCAGGAAATCTACCTTTGCATTTCACAGACATTTACCAGGTAAGAGGTGGTAAGTGACAGAACCTTGTCACTCTGGGCCAGAATAAAAGGAAAAACCTACCACCGGGTGGAAACACCTGCTCATTCCCCTCAGCTCAGTCCCTTCCTCTGTCTCTGCCCCAGGTTCCCTTTCCAGACGGATCTGCAGTGCTGAGAAGTCTCAGCCCGCTTTAAGTCTAACCAGTTCTCCCCCGTTCCTGTAAGATCCTCAGTCCTCTGCCCGCAACCATTTCCAGTTTCTTTGTCCACCCAGAACCTGCCTCCAGGAGCCTTCCCAGGCTAATCTTTCTCAGTTATTCACTGCTCTCCCTTTCTATATCTCAATCTCCGTCTTGGTTATCTCATTTTTCCACTGACTTCCTGCCTCCTGTTTTATCTGTATCTCTGCCAGGCACCGTTCCTTACACAATTCCCTAAATCCCAATCATTTTTTTCCTTCAATTTTAGCTATTTTTAAGACACAGGACACACAACTACCTGTCACAGATTACCAAAACACATCCTTTCTCTTTTTTTCTCCAACGTGTTGATACCTGGTTAAAGAAACTGAAAACGGGGAATTTCAACAGAGCAGTTTCAGCGCACATCACTGCTGACTCCATCTACCACAAAAATTTTAAAGCTAGATCTAACCAAGTTTGATTTAACCGCTGGAGGCTTACCTTTAAATGCTTTCAAAGTAATTTTTTTCCCAAACTTTTTCACATGAACTTCTATTGCGAAGATAAAAGCATACAACTTCCATCCATGCTCTTTTTCACTTAGCTTTGAAAAATAAAAGCAAATACGTATCTTCATAAACATTAGGCTCATTTTGTTTTTATATTTTAGAATATGTTCCTGCTGCAGGTGAGCCACAACATACAAAAGAGAACAAGATTAAGGAGCCAAGGAGACAGTTAATAGGGACACGCTGATACCTTCCCTCTTACTTTCCCTCTGGGCGGAAAGAGAGTCTGTAGTTCTGGTTTGAGCATTTTAATCAATGTTTCTTCAGGACAGATTCCTTAACAACCATAAAGCAGACACAAAAGGCCAGAACTCACTCATGAATATGCTCAGCAATGACTCAAGAAGATGAGAAATGAAATAAAATGGAAAGTAACAGCCCGTGTATTCAGTGTAATTCTTTACAGCTTTGTCCACAACCAACAATAACGTGTGCATGGGCTACCTCAAAAGCACTGTTCACAGATACTAACCTCCATAAAAAGGAGGTGCCTACTTCCTTCTCCTCATTTAAAAACTCACTGACCAAAGCTCAAAAGCACAAATTACGCTAGTAACATCACCGCAGATATTTAAAGTTATGACAGGCTTTTCAGAGGAATGCTACTGCTCTAATGCAGTATTTTCCACATGTAAAAGATGTCCACCACTTTAGTTTCTAGGTGTGTGCTTTGTACCTTCAAATCTCAGTGCTGAAAGGAGCCCAGGAGCTATTTAATCGCTGAGGAATATCCAGTGCTTGCAGCAGAAGCTGAAAACCAGTGCCCTCCACTCATCGTCTCTGCAGTTGCTCCGGTGAATATCTAGCTATTTTACACAAAGTAGAAAGGAGGAGGACTACCCACCGCTTCAGAAAAGCTCCTGGCTCACAGCACTCCCTTGGGAGCGCAGTGAGGGTTTCCAATCCCTGCTCCAAATCTGGGAGGAGGAGGCCATTACCATCTGCGTCTGCCAGCACTTCACTACCTAGCTTGTGAAAAGGGCACTCATGGCCACTACTACCACCACAGTATGTTTTATTCAAGAAAGAATGGGGTTGTCTTAATAGGCCAACGCAAGGCTGGCTGCTGAGACTCAAGCAGGGTGAGGCACCCTTCACAGAATTTGGTGCCCCTTAAATATGTCTTTTATTTGACGCTAAGCAAGGCCTCCAGATGTGTACATATCATGCTGTGGGCAACATCATTCTCCTAACTGTTTATCGCTGCCATCTTATCCACAGAGGAATTCACTAGAGAAAATTAATTCATTCTACTCCAGGCCAAATCAGCTGGCTCATTCACATCAAAAACTAACACACTAATGGCACTACCAGCTTCGGCGGAGAGGGGAAATGGCCATCCCTCTTGGGAAAATAATATCTCTCATTCACACAAGCATACTGGGAAGCGGACAGCTATCTAAATAGGTCTCATATTTGCCTGGCACTGCGTCAGAGCGGAGGGCACTGCTCCAGTGCCCGCAGGGACCCTGCTGGAGCGCTCTGGAGTATCTTGCTGAACCTGAGCCAGGCTCTGCAGACACCATTAGGTGTTCAAGAACGAAAAAGGTGATCCCGATAGCGGAGAGCTGGAAGTCCCACTTCAGATCAAGCGCAAGAAGATCAACTATCTTGCTTTTAAGAAGACACCAAAGGAAGAAGTCGCCCCACTTTGGCTGACTAGTTTCTCTATGGGACTTCCTGCGCTCAATGAAGGAGGAAAGTCCTTGTTTTTAACACAAAAGCCGTGCTTTTTCTCCACTGACTACAAAAACTATCAACGGAGAGGAGCGTGAAAACGGAAGGCAGTTAACCTCTGCCAACATCTTGCCTACAAGTTGCGCAGAAGGAACCGACCGACTCTGCAACCCAAACTCGGCAAGGAAGTCTGCTGAGGACTACGCGGGGAGGAGGAGCAGGAGACAGGTTTCTCTCAGAGGCACCCTGGCCCTCGGCAGGGAGAGCAGATGGAAAAGCTTATTTTTACCTCCGAGGCCAGTAGGTGTAACTCTGAATACCAAAGGGCACAGGCTAGTTTACGTCAACCAGGCAAACGCCAAGGGGCATCCAAAGACTGTCGAGTCTTATTTACGTAAAACAAAAAATAACAGCCGGGTCAGCAAATTCTTCCTTTATCCGAATGGTCTTCTGTTTTTTCCTCAGGATTGTGCCTGACACCTTCCTTCACGGAAACTTAACAGC